AACAATTTGAGAGGAGAATGAAGAAAAGTGATTCTAAAGAGATCATAGGGCCAAAATAGGGCTGTTTAAAGAAAATAAGAGAGACAACTAATGAATAAAAAACATCTATGGGAAAGGTATTAAAGAAATTCTGCTAAATATTAAAAGGATGCAGAGGAGAAAGGAAATGAAATCAAGACATCTTGGTCCCCACTTCAGGCTGAAGGAAAAATGAGGCATTAACCTTTGACTTAAAAAAGAACAATTTGGTAGAATACAAGGGCTACCCTCATTTTTTAAAAAGATTTTATTTATAAGGTCTGTCCAGAAAAAGCCCAGCCACTGTTAATATAATGAGAATGGTTTGAGCGACATCAACATCGATGTAACCTGGCAGCCAAGGAGAGTGGACTGGAATGAGCGTGTGTGAACAATGATGACTTCACTGTACTAGTCAGCGGGGGAGGTAGAAGCCACTGAGTGAGCATGTGTGCTGTGTGGCCATTACATTCAAAATGTTTGAACGAGTAAAGCAATGAGTTCCCATCAAATTCTAAGCTTCAACATTGCATTAAGCTTCAACATTCCTCCATGAAAACTATTTTGGTGATTCAGAGGGCTGCAACTATGGGCAACTGGTGATTGGCAGCTTCATCACAACAACCACTCAATCATAGATCACATCTTGTGCAGAGTTTTTTTTGGTGAAACATCAAATCATCCAGGAGACTCAGTCCCCCTACAGCACCCTGCAACTTCTGTTTTTTCCCAAAAATAAAATTGCCTTTGAAAGAGAAGAGATTTCAGACCATCAGTGGGATTCAGGAAAATATGACGGGGCTGCTAATGCGATTGGGAGAACTGTGTGAGGTCCCAAGGTGCCTACTTTGATGGGGACTGAGGGGTCATTGTTCTGTGTACACTGTTTCTTGTATCTTCTTCAATAAGTGTCTCTACTTTTCCTGTTACATGGCTAGATACCTTCTGGACAGACCTCGTACTATTGAATTTTTTTTTAGAGATGGGATGGGAGGGGGAAAGAGAGGGAGAGCAACATTGATGTGTGACAGAAACATTGATTGGTTGCCTCTTGCATGGGCCCCAACTGGGGGGTGGGAGGGCGAGGAGACTGGGCCTGCAACCCAGGGATGTGCCCCGACCTGGAATCAAACTGGCAACCCTCCGCTTTTTGGGATGACACCCAACCAACTGAGCCACACCAGTCAGGGCAAGGCTACCCTCATTTGAAAAGCAACTGATTAGTACTATTTTCCCACCTGTGCCAAAATTTTCTGGCTCTCTCCAGAGATTATCTGTTTGTTCACTTCCCCATTCTGTGGCAGATGCCAATAATGAGTAACAGCTCAGCAAAATATGGAGACTTTAAACAGCAAAAATAAAGGCTCTTTTTATAGATGCTTCTTAAGAAAGTAGTTTAGATAACATCAGAGGACATATCTGTCCCTCATAGAGAGTAGGCTATCAATATTTACCTTTTTGTACACATATTAACATTTCTCTGTTATTTTATTCCAACGTATTTAAACACAACTCCAAAGGTTGAAATTCAACCTGATAGAAATAGATATGGTAGCAAAGTAAATAGAAAAGTCCTTTTACCCTCTGCTCTTGTAGGCCTGAAACAAAGCAACTAAGTAAGCTCATCTAATATTAACCTGGAGAAGGGAGTTATTTTTTAAAAAGAGGTGTGATAGCCCTGGCCAGGCGCCTCAGTTGGTTGGAGTGTCGTTCCCCATACAGCAAGGTTGCAGGTTTGATCTCAGGTCAGGGCACATTCCTGGGTGGCAGATTGCATCCCAGATCAGGGTGTGAGTAGGAGGCAACTGATGGATGTTTCTCTCACATAGACGTTCCTATCTCTCCCTTCCTCTCTAAAATCACTAAACATATCCTCAGGTGAAGATTAAAAAGGAAGGTGTGATAAAGGAGAAAAAATACAGATGCAGGAAGCTCTAGGGATGCAATATTCAAGGCAAGGGAACACAGATTTGTTCGAAGACATTATTTTCTGCAGAAAGAATCAAAAACATTCTGGGAGACATAAGTAACTCAAGAGAAGGAAGACTACAGAAAAACACGTATGGAGACAAAGTGACGAAAAGCCCAAGCATTCAGAGCTCAGAGAGGAAACTTGTCAGAGAGCTTCAGATCAGCTGGCCCAGGAAGCTTAACAAGGAAGCCACGAGGGACCCCCTGCTGGGCCTGATTGTTTTTAGAAGGAACGGTACTTTGTGACACCACCCAACTGTAAATTGCTCGGCTTTTGTCAGCCCGTGTCACAACCTGAAGAAAATAGTAGCTCAACCCCCCTGCTACTCATTTACTGTATTTCTTATTATAACCTCCTGTACAACTGTGAAGAAACTGGTCTATAAATAAACTCCACATCTCCACTTTTGATTATATAAGCAAAATAGTATGACTGTCACAGAAAAATCGTACAGAAAAAGCACAATACTGAGCATTTGCTAGAAGCTCAATAAATACTTAATGTATCGGGTCTGCTTTCAAGATGTTATTTCATTATACATTCATCACAGTTGCTGAGTATGGGCCAAGAATCATTTAATGCACAAAGAAAAATTTTTGCAAAGCTTTTAGTATTTATTAAAATTAGGATAACTGGTTTATTTGCTTTGTAGAATAAGTCTAAGTAAAAAATAAGGTTTCATTTCTAGAACATTGAACTAAAAATAATTTTAACACAATGCATTATTTGTTTATGCAAGGCAATAAATATTTGTTGAATGGAACTGGGATTATAGATGCTAAAGATTAAAAAAAATCTTGTACTAAAGATAGAGTACATGAGCCAATACACATTTAAACAATTCTATCAGTACTTGAAAAACAGAACGCTCTTTATTAATACAATCATTGGGATCCAGTAAGAAAAAGTTTCTCTCAAAATTTTAAATCAAAGATCATACAACCCTTGGGTTACAATCTTAACTGAATAAGGAAGCAAATATTTACTAACTTCTAAATCATAATTGTAAAATGATGACTAATAACTAGAAAGATATGTTTCCCCCCAAATTACCCAAATCAATATTTTTTGGTGTGTTATTTCAAAGGAGCTACACGAGTTAACTTGCCATTGGTGACAACCAGCACATCTGCATGCGGACTGGCCCAGAGAACCCTGTTACAAACTCCAGCACAGAGACACCTCTCAGCTGTAACTATGGAGCCACTCACCACGGCAGTCTTCTCACAGCATGCCATTCCTACTTTTCTTTTTTCACAGTAAGTAAATTGGTGACATGAGTTCACAATATTTAAGGATAACAATAGTATGAATATTAATTTAATATCTTATGCAGAGTTAGAGAAAAATCTGTCTTTTAAAATATTTTTATACAATGTGAACTGGTCTGCTTTGTATAGCATGAGAGAGACTTTGCAGGCTTTAGAGACCCAGTCCATACAATCAGATCCTAGAGTTATAAATATGTGTTTAATTTACTCTGAAAATACAAAGCAAATCTAATTTTAGGGACAAAAATTCAAAAGTTTCATAACAACCATAATGCACAAAGATAAGATCAAAGGTATCAGAAGTTCTGTGTAATTATCTAATAAGAAAACAGTTGTTGAGCTTTGCAAATTTTCAAATTTTAAAAAAATCAGAAATGAAATTATTGTTGTGTTTGTTCCACAATTCAGAGTTATAATAATGCCAATGTTTAATTATGTTGGTGATTCCATTTTAAAATCACTTTTTATATTTCAATTACAGTTGACATACAACATTACATTAGTTTCAGGTGTACACCCCAGTGATTAGACATTATATATCTTACAAAGTGATCATCCCAATAGATCTCGTACCCATCTGATACCATATATAATCACTGGATTATTGACTATATTTCCTATGCTGTACTTTTCACCCCCACAAATGTTCTGTAACTACCAATTTGTACTTCTTAATCCCTTCACTCTTTAAACCCACTCTCCTCTCCTGCTCATCTGGCAACTGTCAAAATGTTTTCTGTATCTTTGAGTCTGTTTCTATTCAGCTTATTCATTTTGATTTTTAGATTCAATTGTTGATAGATACATATTGTCACTTAATTGTTCATATTTTTATCTATTTTTTTCTTCTTAAAGAAGACCCTTTAATATTTCATGTAATACTGGTTTGGTGGTGATGAACTCCTTTAACTTTTTATTGTCTGGGAAACTCTCTGTAGGTCCTTCAATTCTAAATGATAGCTTTGCTGGGTAGAGCAATCTTGGCTGGTCCTTGCTTTCCATCACTTTGAATATTCCTTGCCAATCCCTTCTGTTTGCCAATCCCTGCAAAGTTTCTGTTGAGAAATCGGCTGACAGTCTTATGGGAGCTCCCTCGTAGTTAACTGCTTTTCTCTTGCTGCTTTTAAGATTCTCACTTTGTCTTTAAACTTTTACATTTTAATTATCTTGGGGTGAGCCTCTTCAGGCTCATCTTGTTTGGGACTCTCTTCACTTCCTGGACTTGCATTTCTATGTCCTTCACCAGGTTAGGGAAGTTTTCTGTTATATTGTTTCAAATAGGTTTCCAATTCTTACTCCCTTCTCCTGGCACCCCCAATGATGTGAACGTTGAAATGCTTGAGGTTGCCCCACAGGCTCCTTACACTATCCTCATTTGGGGGGGGGGGGATTCTTTTTTCTTCCTTATATTCCAAATTGCTGACTTGATTCTCAGCTTCATCCACTGTGAGTCCCTGAAAGTTATTCATTTTATTTAGCGTATCCTTCATTTCTGGCTGGTTATGTTTTATGGTTTCCTTGTCTTTTTTTAAGCTGTTGAAGTTCTCACTAAGTTCATTAACACATTGTCTGCGGGTAGTTTTTATCACGTGCTCTACTACCAGTCAATGTAAAACGTATAAATACGTTTCCCTCATACAATGTGTTAAACATCCTTATAACCAATGTTTTGAACTCTCCATTTGGTACATTGCTTGTCTCCATTTAATTTAGTTCCCCCCCCCCCCGCCCCTGCCTCGAGTTTTGTTCTTTCATTTGGGACATGTTTCTCCATCTCCTCATTTTGGGAGCTTCCCATGTTTGCTTCTGTGTATTAGGCAGAGCTGCTATGTCTCCCAGACTGGTAGAGTGGCCTACTGTAGAAGGTGTTCTGTAGGGTCCAGTGGCACAGCCTCCCTATTCACCTGAGCCGGACACTCCAGGTGTGCCCTCCCCCATGTTTATCCTGTATACACGCTCCTGTTGTAGTTGAGCCTTGTTTGTTGTTGGCATGTCAGTGGGAGGGATTTACCCCCAGGCTGATCAGCTGCAAGGTCTGGCTGTAACCACCATGGAGGATCAGCTACACAGGGGCCCACCCCATGGAACAGGACTCACTTAAGTAGGACTCTGGCTCCTGCTGAGTCTGCCCCTTGAGTGTGTTGCTTGTGGAGGTGGTTGGGTGGTGCTTCAATGTGATGTGAAGCTGTCTACTGGGTGCAATGGCTCTGGGGTCTCCCAAGAAGTGCAGGCCAAGGTATGCTGCCACGTGTGTTCTGCCTGGGGCCTCCTGGCATGAACTACAAAGTGACCTGTAGTAGCTGCTGTTTGTACTGGGCTTGGAGGGCCCAGGAGATGCCAAACTGTGAATTAAGGCCACCTGCCACTAGTGTCAGGCCTGGGGCAAGTCAGCAAGAGGCATGGGGCACGACAAGACTACATGCTGCTTTTTTGAGAAATTTTAGGAAAGTCTGAAGCAGGAGCCAAGACATGCCATTCATGTGGAAAAACCAGAGGAAACAACTGGGATGGGCCCACTGGTTGGGTGGGGCAGGATCTCAGGGAATCACCAGGGCAGGGCAGTGATAGCCAGCTTGATGGAGACTCAGATGTGGGGGGAGGGAGGCCTCAGCAAAAGAACAACAGCCTCTGCCAGCACTTCTGTCTGGGAGAATGCTGCCCCTCCAGCCTCCTCATGCCAGATAATTCTATTCCTCCCCGTACGTCTCTGGTGCCCTCTGAGCCATTGCCCCAGTGCTGTGGCTTAGAGAGAGTGAGTCCAAATAAGTCTATGCACAGGCCCTTTAACAGGGACTGCCTGGGACCCCAGAAGCCCTCTGTCTCTCTGAGCTGATCCCTGCTAGTTTTTACAGTCAGAAATTATGGGGAACTCTCTTCCTGGCACTGGAACCCTGGACTGCAGGACTTGGTGTGGGGCTGGGACCCACTGCTCCTCAGGGGGACCCCTGCAGCCAAGATATCCCTCCTGATTTTTATCCACCATATGTGGGTGTGGGACCGGCCTGTTCACGTCTCTGCTCCTCCTACCAGTCTTGATGTGGCTTCTTCTTTATATCCTCAGTTGTAGGACTTCTTGTTCAGCTAGATTTCAGGCAGTTCTGGATGATGGTTATTCCTTCATTTAGTTACAATTCTGATGTGGTTGTGGGAGGATGCGAGTACCACAGTTACCCTCTCCACCATCTTAACTGGAAGCCACTGTCGGTGATTCTTTAGTCATCCTTCCCATTTATGTTTGTGTTCCTGATTTGCTGAAGTGATGAAAAAGCTCACAGAGAGAAAGCACAGATTTCCTTAGAAGGCTGACCACAAAATAATCCTTATGCCAGACCCTAAAGCTGTGAATTTTCATGGACTGTGAAGCTGAACTAGGCCACCCAAGAAAGGCAACTTTGTCTAAGGTCCACTCTTCACTTATTCTCTCCTGTCCAGCCTTTGGTCCAAGAAGGGATCCGATATTATGCGCTCCCCTGGTTCACCGGACCATTTTGCTGTCTTGTGTAAAAGCCAAGTATGTTTGTGTTGGTTTGTTTGAAGACCAGGCATTTTGGGTGACAATTAGCACATTTCTGGAGAACATCCATATTCCTGGACTCCTGACTTCCCTTTGCTGAGGGCCACACCCAGAGAGAACGCCCTAGTCCAGAGAGTAGAGGCAACTGGTAAGTTATGATTTCTTCCTACAGAACTACTGAGCAGGGAGAAAAGGGACAGGTCAGTAACTGAGTGTCATGGAGCGGATTCAAGCCCAAAGACCTTCTGACTTATTAAGGAAGGCCTCCACTTCCTACTAATCATTACAGCCCAGTCCAGCCCTGGGCCCTGAGATGCCAGTGGAATGTTGACGCCCTCTTAGTGTGAGAGGCCCAGCCAGGGCTTTCGGCGGCTGAACCTTAGTGCAGCTTGTTGTGCACGGGGTAGAGTAAGGTCATGTGTTCCGCCCCCTTGAAAGGCAACTTCTCATTGGAATAGTAGTGTACCACTTCGGGGATGCTGTCGAAGACCGCGCTGGTCTGGTTCAGCGTGTACTTGTTGTCTTTGGTCTGAGCCACAATGATGTGCACACATCCTTGACTAGTCCTGGAACAAAACAGAAATCAAGGAGGGGGACATGAATGAGTGAGCAGGGGGGTCCCTCCCACTGCAAACACCCCAGCCAGATTCACAGGCGGACAGGCTTTCATCCATTCCTTCGACTGTTGATAAACAAGTGCAGCCCTGAACAAATGTGTGTCCTCTCTGAGTTGTTTGTCCTTAGTGCACACAAGTTGTCAGACACCAGCCAAGAAACACAAACACCAAAAAGAAGTCCAGTCCCTCCTGGCCCCCAAATTGCCAAACTAGTGCTTAAGCCCAAGCATGAGACTGCTAAGGTGAGGTTTAAACTCATGCTCTTCATCACAGCCAAAGGACATGTGTAAATTTCCCTCCTTCTTTCCTCCCCAAAGAATACATTAAGAATAATAATTTAAAAAACTGCTTCCTCCTCCCCCTCCCTCCCACTCCACCTCAATCTGGAGAGGCTGTTCCTGGTCCCATGTAATGACAGCTGGCACCGAAGGCTCAAAGATCTAATCCGTGGTGCTGGTTTCAGGAACACAGCAAAGCTATTCCTGGTATTGTGTATCTGCTGGCCTATCCCCGTTTTCTGAGCCACTTTGCTCAAACACCCTCCCGCCCCAGCCTCTTTCCCCTCCAGCCTGATTGTTTCAGCTGCAGGGGCTCAGCTTCCTCAGGAAGGAAATGCCGTTGGGGCGCTCGACAATGACCCTCCAATATAGCACCGCCGAACTCGCGCAGCCGCGAGAATTTCCATGATTCAAGTTCCACCAGGCCTACCAGGCAGAAGTGGATTTCTGTGTACAGTCAGACAAGGGACTAATAGCAAGTCAGCATTTCCTTCTTCACCAGAAGAAGCTGGTCTCAAAATTGACTTGGCATTTGAACAATCAAGGGATCTAATTTATTAAAATCCCCAAACACTAGGGAGTAAAAGAAGAATGACTAAAGCATCCTGTAAGATATTATTCTTTTTATCAGGAGTTATTTCTCTGGTGAGAGGACCTACTTTAGATCGAGTAATATAAGGTAGAAATTGACTAATGTACAAAACCAATTTTGTATTCTAATCAGAGCATTTCCTATCCATTGTCCAAGCAAATGCATCTTGTTTTCTGGCAACATAGGCCCCTATGAAGCACCCTGAAATAATATCTTTTGACTGGTCACCTGACCAGGATAGGAAAGACTGACATGGAGCAACCCCCATACTCCCCCTGCCCCTGCCGCTGTATCCAAACGGGACACCATGAGGGTGCCACACTCACTTCAGTGCAATGGAGTACCTACTGGTCCCCGATTCGCTATTCCGAACCAGGTAACCAGCTTCTTTGCAGGGTTGCAGTCGACTCTCAGCCTCAGCACGGGTGATGGCACCATGATACCAACTGGAAAATGGAGTTGGGGGAGACACCACAGCGTCAGAACAGAAATCCAAGAGGGAGCTACCGGGCTAGTGTCATTTTAAAAGTTTTCACTCTGTATAGGAGAATGAAATTTAAACTCAGGCTCTTGGGATGCAGTACACTTTCCCTTCTGCACAAGTGCACTGGGCTTTGAAAGTGGGTTTCATTACGAAGCCCACCCAGACAAGTCTTCATGAGCAGGAATAATCAGGTAAAAATGGGCCACGGCTCCCCCCACTCCCAGGCTATGGATGAGCTACCAGCTGCCGTTTGTCACTTGGCTGCACGGGAGACTCACGGCTGCTTCTCCAGCGGCAGGGCGGGGTCCACTCTCTCCCCCTCACTGTGGTCAGAGAGGGCTGGCTTCAGGATCTTCGGGGTCCAGCTCTTCTGGCGGTGGTGCTGCCGCACTGGCTCCTCCTTTGTGGAAGGTCGCTCAGAGCCTTCAAACTGAACTGGAAGGAAGGCTCCATTTAACATCAGAGGCCACGGAGGTGAACCACGTGGACTTCAGAGAAAAACCTCTTTGTCTGCCTCAGCTCGGGAAAGAAGCTCGCCCCTCCCTCTAATGCGAGCTAACGTTCTACAAGCAGCCGGGGACGGCTGCGCTCCCGCTGTCTCCGGTGTCTGATCCCACTGCAAGTATCCAGACAGCTATGTCTTCTGTGAGATGCTCATCACTGTACAGCAGTTTTACAATACGAGAGGGAACCACTTTAATATATGTCAGCATGTACTTGAAAAAAACTCTAGGTTGTGGTATATTTAGAGTAAAAGACTAAATGTAGTTACAGGTGATGATTCCTTGCAAGAGTGTTTCATTCTATGAACTCAAGAGAACAGTTCCTGCTATGAAATAATAAAACAAAAAGAAAACCAGCTGTGAAAGAAAGTAACTGCTGAATATTGCCATACAGATGCCATGGCGCACAGGCTGGAGAGACCAGAGCGAGAGGCAGCGGGCAGCACCCAGCACAAGGGCCCAGCCGGGACCTGTGACAACCATGACCACAGGGACTCGCGGACTGGCCCGGACGCTTGTTGTCGGCTGTGCTGCCTTCTCTGCTCGCCCTGTGCACTGACGAAACGTTCACTCACAAACAGGGCTCTACTGCTGGGGCGAAAGGCATCCCTAACTTTAAAAATCAAAGGCAAAAGAATTTATGTGGCCAGGTAAGTAGAAAAACTATGTCCTGGGAGAAGCAAGAGGGCCAGTTACCTTTAATAACTACTGACCACCTGTCACTTTCCTCGTAAGTCACTTTAAAAATTCATACTTCAGAACTGATTCCTTTAGAATTTTTTACCAAAAATTTTTGGTAAAAAGCAGTTTTGAGGAGTCAAGTAAGAGTCAGACAAGCTGCTGCCTATTAGGAAGATTCAGCTATCAAGTAAGGCCTTTCAATAGTCATTTAAAGCGTCTCTAAAAACAGCTGTGCCCGGTGAAGAGAAAGGAAAACGAAGATGCCCAGAAGGATAAAAGAGAAATGCAACATTAAGGGCTCTTCTTCAGTCCTGGTCTTGCAACCAGGCCCAGTTCTTGTTGCCCCGACCAGATTCGCAGGACAGACTTGCAGTAAAGAACTGCACGTGGCGTTGGCGGAGGGGTCCAGGGGGCGCAGGTCTCCCAGCAGGACAGCAGAGCGCGCAGCGGACACCCTTCGCCTGACACGCCCGTCGCCTGACACGCTCCCCAACCCACGCTGCCCCTCACCTGAAAGCGCGCGCACGATCTGCTCCTTCTTCCACTCCCACGGCTGCTCGTACTCAGCCGCGGGCCGCTCATCATCCTCGGGCAGCCGGCCGTGGGCGTCCGGGGGCCGCGCCTTCCGCTCGGGACCCCCATCAGCAGGCTCGTAGGGCGTGTCGTACAGCTGCGGAGGCTTCCCCAGCAGGTCCCTGGAGCTCCGTCTCTTGGCCAGCGCCTCGGGCTTTGCGCCCGTCTCCCCCGGCTCACAGGGGCTGTCGAGCAGCTGAAGGGCCTTCACCAGGGGGTCTTTAGAACCTCGGCGTCTAATTTCTGAAAAACACGCAGCACACAGAACACCTTGAAAGAAATGCACCACGGAAGCTTGGTAATTCACAGAATTCCCTGTTCCCCTGGGACTGTGTGTGGTGGAAGGTGACAGAGACCGCCAACACTGTCCCTTAAGGGCTGGCTACTTCCCGGCTGTAGAAGGCAGCCCCTCTGAGCCAGATAACGGGACTGGGTCATCCACAGCATTACAGGTCACATCCGAGGACAGGCGTGCTCGGGCCGCCTGCAGTTTGCGAGAGCAGATGCGTGCCAGTCACTGGGCCCGCGTTGGTTCTGAGTGTGGTTCGCCTGCAGTTTTCACATGTCGTTAGGAAGCTGGGATAAAAGTATTTTAATAAAAATTGACGGAGTGTTTACTATCTTCAAAGCACTAGGCATTAGAGTTCTTGACCTGTGGGTGGTTTCAGTACAGTGGGCAAAGCCAGACACACTCAGGAACAACACATAGCGGGCTAATGACGGCAGGAGAGGTAAAAGAGGCGCCACAGGGAAAAACAATAATGGTAAAACAGCTAACATTCGTCGATGGTGTACTATGCATTAAGCACTATTCTAAGTGCATTGCGGTTTTCATAGCCACTCTATGAAATGGGTACTATCACCGTATTTTTGGACCATAAGACGCACCTAGGTTTTAGAGGAGGTAAATAGGAAAAAAAATTTGAAGCAAGAAATGCGGTAAAACATTTAATAACACAAAAAACATAATATTTCACCAATGTAAATGTAAAGCTACATTCGGACTATAAGACACACCTCCCTTTTCCTCTCAAATTTGGGGGAAAAGTACATCTTATAGTCCAAAAAATATGGTAGTTCCCCAGTATTAGAGCGGACTGAGGCACAGAGAGTTTAGGAAATTGCCCAAGCTATTCGGTGGTGAAGCCCAGATTCCAAAGCGGGAAGCTGGGCTCCAGAAGCCACACTGCTCACCACCAAGAGTGGACTGACTCCAAGTGGAAGAGACATGGGAGATGAGTGGACTCTGATAGAGAAGGTCATTTCCAGTGCAGGAAGCTGCATGAGTGAAGATACGGAGGTGGGAGCCATAGAAGGCTTGTTCCCAGAAAGGACAGTGAGAGATAAGTCCAAAGGACAGAGGCCAGGAGCAGGGAGTGGTGGTGGGGAAAGCAGCCGGAGCACGAGGCGGGCCAGGGGCCCCCAGTGTAGAAGTTGTAAAGGAAGGATGCACTGCAAAATGATGGTTTTTATAAAAACAGGTAATAACAGTTATATTTTATTTTGTTGGAAGATAACTCCAACACAGTATACAGGATAGAATATGCCAGAATGATATGGTCTGGACTGAGGCAAAGAAACAGAGGCAAAAAACCTGATGCAAATCAACCAACCGCCACCCAACCTGCCAGCCGACCACAGCGGGGAGAAGTTGGAGGGGCCTGGAGGCTGGGCAGCTCAGAGCCCAGAGGCCTTGGCAGGTAGAGTGAAAGGTGCTTACGGTCCGGACAACCAGAGCTGGCGACACAGACCAGCAGAGGCATTACGGGTTCTTCTAAATGTCCATCAGGAAGCCTTCCATCTGCCCACCTGGTCTCAGTCAAGGAGCACTTTTATAAACACAAACACCCCACCTCATCCCTTAACACCCATAAACTCTCAGCTGTCTACTTAAGAGGTACAGACAGCTCGCATGGCGTGGGAGGCCTTCCGTGACCAGGTCACCGTCTCCCTCTCCAGTCTCTTCTCTCACTGCCACCTTCCTGTCCCCCTGGAATCCAATTCTTTGATCCAACCAAATGGAACTCGTGAAGTTCCCTGAGCACTACACTGCCTCATACCCAGTAGTGTCTGGGTGATTTTCCATCCCTCGAAATCTAACCGGGCTTCTCCTCCAACCCCCCACCTCTCCCGGTGGCCCCACTTCGCCAGCCCACTCGCACCTCGCACGGCTCCCACCGTGCGCATCTGCTTGTTGCTGTGCCTGGGTTTCCAGTCCGGTGGAGACGGCCAAGGCAAGGGCCACCACCGTTTCGTTTCTCTTTGTAAGACACACAGTTGAGCTAAATAATAATTGGATGGATGGGAGGAGAAAAAGAGACAGGTGGAGCTTTAGCACTTCTCCCAGCAGGTGACAATGTAGATCCAGGGCTCAGCAGAGAGATGAAGGACAAAGTTACACGCCAAGGAGTCACTCACGAGTGAACTGTTGCCAGTAGTGCGATAGTGAAAGCAGGCAGTCTGAAGGGAGGATGGAAGGCAGGGTCTGGGGCTTCTTCAGGGGAGGGGGAATGGAAGGAGAGTGTGACCGAGGAGGAGTGGTGGGGTGAGGGGCACCGCCATGGAAACCGGGGAAAGTGAGAACGTCCCCAGGTAGAACAGGCATGGAGACGCTCCATGAAGAAGAATCATGGACTCAACAAGACTTCTATAACAAGGAAAGGACAGCAAATGAAACATTCCAAGGAAAGGTTATTAAAATCAGGACACTAAATTAGAAAGGACAACATTTACTGAGAGGGTGAGGCTGTGATTCTGCTGGATGGGGGCCCTGGTGGCAGTGCACTGGGATCGGGAGCTTCAACAGCGGTGGATGCCCGGGTCCTCCCACCGGAGGCCCTGACTTAAGTGGTCTGGGGTACGGAAGCTTCCCCAGGTGATTCTAATGAGAAGCTAAGCCCGAGAGGCACTGCCACACCTCCTGGGTGCCCCCCCCCCCAAGTTCTTCTGGCCCTCCAGGGCTCATCTCGTCCCTGCTAGCCCCATCCCAAGCAGAGGGCTCTCCCCAGTCTAAAGCCTCCAGGCCGAGGAATGGGAGCGCAGGACGAGCCGACTCTGCCCCCGGCCGGGAAAGGTGCCTGGGGCTGCCTCCAGCCCAAGCCTCTTGACTTTCAATCCAGCAGCTTTTTTTCTTCATTGCTTATTCTAGATGGAGTTATGGAAAATAAGAAACAAAAACATATTCTGCTCTTGGTTCAGTTAAGATAAGGCTGGAGTTTTTTTAAAAGGAAAGAGAAAACACAAAGGAATTCATAGGACGGATTTGGAATTTTGGAAGTTTCTGACCAGAACCTAAGTCTGCCCTCAGCTGAGTCTGCGCAGTCTGGGGAAACCGTCCGGTTCCTCGCCTCCCGTCCGCCCCAGCTGCACTACTTGCGGAGGAACTGACTGCAACCTTAAGATAGGAGGCGTCCCCCTCACAAGAAAACTTCAACAGATTTGTGTTAAAACAATGCCGTGATTAGAATCCTGAGTCCTTATTACAGATGTGTTCAAGTTTTTGCTTTCGAGATGAGGTCTTGCCCCGCTACTGCAGACAATCGGCACGCACAGCCCTCCGGCAGAAACACTGGGGAGCAAACAACTGAGAGTGTCCCTTCCCGGGGTGGTCCTGGAATTGGGCAAAATCTGCAAAGTTTTATCAACTTTTTCAACAATGTTTAATTAGGGGAAAAAGGGCCTGAGTGCAGCGCCCCTCCGCCCCTTCAAGGGAAGTAACCTTCCAGTCCGTTCCAACACCTGGCTGCCCCCAACCTGAGGTGCCATAGAAACAGAAACAATCGCGGGGCTGCAGGCCGACCCTTCCTGCAGGGAGAATAGCCCCTGACGTGCGGAGCTGGCTCCAAGAGGAAACGAGCCTGAGAAGGAGGAAATGGCGAGAGGAAGCTACGCCCTGGCTCTGCCGATAGAGGCCATTTACATGGCAGACAACAGAATGAGGCCTCGGGCTGCAGACAAACACGGTCTGCAGCTGAAGCCCAGGCCTGACCCGCAGCGGCTAACGCGACCGACGGCGTGAACGCAGCGCAGCGTGGGTCCCTATCTTCCCTTCCCTATTCCCAGCTCTGGCTGTGCATAATTATGCCACTTCTATTTAAAAGCATAGCAGAAGACTAAGACTTCCTTCAACTAAATTAATTGTAGTTACCAATTGTTATTTCTCTAATTGTCCAGAGTTGTCTTCGAAAATGGAACTCTCTCTCTGAAGTGTCCAAATGACGGCTGCATTCATTGGATGTGCATGTGCCGGCGTGTTACGCCCAGTATCTCAGTGAAACCTCAGGGTGGGCGAGGGAGGAGTCCCATCTCGCAGGTGAACCAACCAAGGCCGGGCGGCAGTCAGCGGGGGGCGCCACTGAGCACAGACGCCAGAGCTTTCTCCGTCACTCCTCACTGTGTGCCCAAAGATCTCGTGTAAAACATTAAGTACAATTTCTATAATGCACCTTTCCCCTCATTCATTCCTAATGTTTTCAAAACTAAACTTAGAGCTTCATGAGGCTCTTTTTCATTCTTAGAATCAGAAAAAGGGCCATTAGGTAACTTTACTCACATTTTTTATCCGTGCTCGAGCTTTTGATTTAAAATTACTTTAACATTTCCTGAACAAAAACAGATATAATTTAGAAGCCCTGAAATTTAAGTATAATAAGGAAAGTACAGACATTACGTAAATAAAAAATAGTCTTCTATTATTACTTTTTCAAAGTGATTAATTTTTTAAATGGAGACCTGAACAATGAGATTCTCTTTTAGACTGCACTATTTAAACAAACCAACAAAACCATTCGGAGGCAAAAATAAAAAAATGTAAAACCACTTGTGGCTAGAACTCTGTAACTAAAACCAAAGGGATGGTGAGTGACCTGTATCTCCACCCGTATAATCTGGACAGGTTACTGAATCTTCTGAACCTTGGTTTCTTCGACAATACGCAGAGACTGCTAAGACCCACTTCTCTGGGTCGCAGGGCTCAGGGAGGTGATGTGGTGAGTCTGGCACCTCACAAATGCTCCATCCGTGCGATACCAGCTGTGAGAGGAACTTCGGTGCTGAATGACAGCTGTCTTGGGGAGCTTCTAGAGACCCTTTCGAGTTTTTACTTGGTGCTAAAACCCAAAACGCTAAATTATATGGAGTATTTCTATTAATTATTTAGCCATAATGATCCCGCTAATTTATCAGAAAAACAAAGAAATTTATACTATTATTGCCTTGTATTCATAGTCATATATTTTTATGAACAATTCTTTGAATAAATATAAGTAAGAATTTCTTCATAAATTTATGAATTTTTAGCTTCTAAAAGTTGAGAGCAAAGTCTTGGAAGAGATCCAGGGAGCCTAAACCCCAGTTACTGGGCTACAGGAAAGTACTAAATGCCTCTTGATTTCTGTTTCTTCCTCTGTCCCTGAGGCCTGAGGCCGACGGTGTTTCTAATTCTCTAATTCATGACACTTAACCTCACCTTTCTTTAAAATTTTGTTTTTCCTGACGACACTGTTACAGATGTCCCCCAACCACACTTTTCAATGACATGCTTTCTTCTGTGTCGCTGTTAGGTCTGTTACCCCTTGGGCTGCGAGGGCCACAGGACCAGGGCCACCGGGTTTGTTCTCTGCATGCCCAGTTCCTGGCACAGGGCCCGGTGCTTGGTGAAGAAATACTTGTTGGGTGTTATAATACAACCTCACGAACAGTGTGATATACACCCAAGGTATTATAAAATCAGATACATTGTTTCCACCTCACAGGCACTGAAAAGGCAGGACAGAGGCTGGGTGGTCCAGAGATAAATCACTCATTAGCACTGTCTCCTTCTCCTACAGAAATGCTGAAACAAACTGAAAAGAAATCCCTACTGTTTCTCAAGAAATATGGGGCATTTCTGAACTTGGACTTGACAACAAATCACAAGGAACCAACTGAACAAAAAAGGTAAAAGGTTTAAAAGAAAACAAACCAGCAGCAAAACTTTTATTCCTAGCTTCCGACAGACTCACTTCCTGTTATTCTGTCCAGCTGTGTAACCTACGGGTAGAACAAGAGGTGTATTCTCTATCTCTACACTGATTGAGAAAGTGCTTCTTAGTATATATTTTACATGAAGAAACTTTAAAACTCACCAATATTTTTTAAGAGCATAGAAAAAATCTAGCAATTAAAAAAGTAATTGATATTTTTAATAAGCTTGAATTTATTCTCCAATTGACTAATTCCATATTCCTAAATGAATTTATTCATGTAAGTGATTTAAAACAGGGCCTAGAATTTAATAAATGCTTGAATATTAAATGCTAGCAATTATTATTATTATTATTATACTTATTTCATGTTGGGCAATTTTGACTTTTCACTATACCCCTCTTTGCGAGTCTCAGTGGAAAGAGGACTTACTCATCAGCACAGTTTCAGGTGCGTTTGTGCACCTCATTTCTTGTCTTGGGAGCCTGGTGCAGGGAGCAGACCACCCTGCCCGGAGGGGGAAGATCGGAGTTGTAATTTCTGCCCTGTCTCTTAGAAAAGGTCTTGTGAGCACAGGCAAGTTAGAATCTCTGTAACCAGGAATAGTACTGCAGTCTCCTAGTTATAGAGTTTTGTGGGGGTTACTTGGGGAAAAAAGATATGTTCATTTTTAAGAAGCACAGCACTTTGCCAATGATCAGTGCGGCTCCGCAGACGAGCAGCTGGGCTACTTTAGAGAAACTATTCATTCCAGTTAAAAAGACAGAGGAAACTAAAACCAAAGGACAAAGAAAGGTGAATCGAAAGTAAGCATTGCTTTTTTAGAATATCTTTTTCCTCAATTTATGTGACAGTAATTCTTTCCCCCTATTTCTTTCAAGACTCCAATATTTTTTAAAATTCTGACTAAGTTCATTTTCACTTCCTTTCATTCACAAATTTCATTAGAGGTCACAGTCCAGTGACCTGCAGGGTCACAGCCTGGCCAGGGTACACCCTCCGCAAACCCGGGCCTTATCTCTGCACGCAGAGTGCAGGAAGCAGAGCAGTGCCTTCCTGCGGCAGCCCCTGTCCATTCTGAGGCCTGTCTCGGCCCTTCCAGGGCGCTGCTGCTACCCTCCTGCTCAGCTCTTCTGAGACTAAGCTTATGGAGTCTGAGCTGGACAGCTTTTCAATCTGTTTTTCAACAGAAGAGACTGTCTTTAATGTGTGACCAGTTATTAGCCTTCTCCAGGCATGAGACCCACGACACTCAAGCAAGGCTACCTTCAGTCAGCACTTGGAAACTTCCTTTCTCTTTATGGATTGAAGAATGTTTAAGGACAATTAGGCGAATAAATAACTGACTCTGATATTCACAAATAAAGCTAAATAACTAGTAAGTATATCATGTGAAAGTATTATTGACACCAACTTAAGAGAATTATGAATAAAAGGGAAAAGTTATTTTTTTAAGGGAAAAGCTTGATATCAGAAATGACAGGGTGATTGCTTAGCTCACCAGCTGGAATTGTCCCACTTCAAAAGTTACAAGATTGTCAATTAGTTTTAGGAGGTTTCTCTTGAATGGCTTGGCTCATGCTAGTGATTGGTAATCATTCCTTAGTAATTAAGTGTTTTGCTCCAATGTTGTAGAGCTTGTTGAGAAATCGGTCGTCTGCTGCAACACAGAGGACTGTGTCTTTTTGCATCCTTTAACTTAAAACCCTTCAGGTATGGATGAGTCCTTTGGTGCAGATTTTCGACTCACATGATGGATGGCAAAGCTTTGAAAGTGGCCAAGTAATGTACAGAAGTGCCTTAAAACTAAAGATCACATCCTGAGCAGATGTGCAAACCCACCATGGAAGACTGCCGTTTTATACAGAATGAGAGAAACTTTAAAGACCCCTGAAAAGTCTAAAGCTGAAGGACCCAAACTACACAGAGAGCTAACTAGGTGTCTGACTTCAGTTTGGGGTCTCATTTCTGTTCCTTCCAGTCAGCAGGGTCTGGTTAAACCCCTTCCCCCTTCCCCCCTTCCCCCTCCCCTTCCCCAGACAGACAGCGGCCACCGTTCTGCACTCTCCAGGTGGGTGCGAGATTTCTGCCCCAGATAAGCAGCTCCTGGGCACAAACCTGTTATCATCTGCTGGGCGTCGTAGGGCTCCATGTAGCCGTCGTTCTCCCCTGCTCTCTCCGCCTCCCTCTGACCTCTGGTCCGTTTGGCATCGTACGGGTCAGCATAGTCTTCTAAAATGATGACCTGGAAGGGGCCAGACAGGAGAGTTGCTAAGGGCCACCGGATGCTGGAACGGCCACGGACGGTCTGCTGATCCGAACAGACCACAACGTCTCCAGCCAGGTCCGGGGGGACAGCCTTTGCACTTGCTCGTGTTACTCACCCAGCTGCACAGACATCTGATTTTTTTTTGGTAGTGTAATTGATTGTTAGCACATCTAAACTCTGCTTATCCCCAAGCCTCTTTCCACCTCCTTTTCTTCCCCTAAGCAATAAAGCTTTTGCTGAGTTGAAGGACAGCAGGGGTGGGTGGAAGTGAGAGGGGATGTCTACTGCTTTAGAGCACAAAAAAACGAGCTGGCCTACCACCTTTCCCATGATTCTGGTCTTTTTAGTGCCAGCAAGATGAGCAACACAGTCACGGTCTGAATTGACTGATTCACGGGTGAATCAGTCAATCACCCGGGCTCCACTGAACATCCACTAGCACTGGTTAGGGAATCAAAACAAGACCAAGAACTGCTTTTTGTCCTCAAGAAATTTGTAACAGCTCTAAAGAGACAGGCTTCATAATAAGAAATAGGTCAGAACTAAACAGTATTTTGGGAATTCAAGGTTCAATAATTCAGAGGCAGACTTATTCTCATTGGCTACAGTCAGATAGAGTTTTGATCCATATTTGTGTCAGAAAGTACCTGTTCTTCCCAAAATGCAAAGGGGCCTGGAAGGGTGGTGCGTGGGCAAGGGTTCTGTTCTGCAGCAGCGGAGTGACTAGGTGGGGGGCAAGGCAAGAAACCCCCTCTCTGGGAAGAGGCCTGCTTCCCAATCTCTGATTCCATTCTCCAAAGAGTTCATGGAGAAGGACCACTGGAGCTGGCAGGAAGCATTTGGATCAATAGGGAGAAGTGAGGAAGAGGCTGCCACCTGGATGGGAGCCCACCTGGGAGTAGGAAACTCAGACATCCAGAAGTGACAACCATGGACATAACCAGGCAACCACTGCCGAGGTCTGCAGTGGCCACTCACTCCCTGACTCCATTCTTCTGACCACCCACCCCGGCCGGAACTGCCCTCGTGCAGGAGGAGCAGGAAGTGGGACATGCAGCCGCTGGCTGCGAGGTGCTTATGAGCTAGTCAGTCAGGTAGACCACTAATATCTGGGCCAGCTGGGTCCTTGGCAGTCTTTCCACAGTTCTCCCGCAGTGCCTGGCCCAGGGTAGGCATGCTGTAAATGTCTGTGGAAAGAATGAACGGAGGAATGAACAGAAGTGCCCAAGGCAGACACACATGGTCTGTGCTACTGGCTCCTGACTCCGTCCAGGCGGGCAGCATGTGTGAAGCCGGGGCAAGGGCAGATTCAAGTTCCCACGACAGGAAGTGATGCCCGTGGCTGAGTCTGAAAGCTCAGCTCGAGCTCTCCTCCCTCCCCCTTCCACAGAGAAGAGCAGATTTTCTTTGTTCCATCCTGTGTCCTCGCAGAGCCCTGGGTCGCTCATCCTCTGTGGCTGCCGCACAGCAGATGGTCATGGGCTGAACTGAAAGGGCTGTAACCTTGGGGTGCTGGTGAAGCTCAGAGAAGCCCTTCACTAGGTGGAGCTTCTGAACTGGGGGTGGGGTAGCCTGGGCTGGCCAACCCATTCTCTGGAGCTTTGAAGGTTGCCATTCCTTGTGCTCAAGAAGAACTAAAATCACACAGTCTTGCTCTGCACCCCTCCTCGGGATGTTGAAATTAAAATAAACCACCACCTATAAGGGCGCCAAATTGAACAAAGCAGGAACATTTCATTCGATTACTGTTATAAACCGCTAACAAAATGAAATAGATAGTAAAGTAAAAGTTCCCCGTCCCTAGAATGAGGATTTTTCAAGATAAAAAAAAAAACGGATGGTTTTAAATAGTCACTTAGAAGTCACCGCATGTCAGGGGAGGAGCACATCCTCCCCCGCTCTGTGGCCCAGGGAACCCTACCCAGGGGCTGGCGGGCTCGCTCTGCTCCTTCCCACTGTTTCCACCACTCAGCAGGGACAGGCGCTCCAGGGGAGACCGTGTTCTTACCGTGTCTTGCTGCTTAATAATCTTGCCCTTGTCCAGGTCAGGGCCCAGGGAAGAAGGGGACGAGGACGCGGAGGAAGAGCTGCTGCTGCTGCTGCTGCTGCTGCCGCCGCCGCCGGGGTAGCTGCTCTTCCCGTTCTTCTCCTGAGTGTCCACCTTGATGAGCCTGTTGATGTAGGTGCTGCATCCTGAGCTCTTGGCCGCGCCCCGGTGGGGCTCCTCCTCGCTGGTGGTCCGAGAGTTCTTGCGGCTCTTGCCCGCGGCGGCCTGAATCAGCCCCTGCAGGCTGTCCCGGGACAGCCGGCTGTCCTTGGAGGGGCCGATGCCGGCCCTGCCACCCCCCAGCTCCGCCGCCGAGTTCTTGCGGCCCTTGCCGGGGGTGGGCCCCGCGCCGCCCGCCTCCAAGTTCTTGCGCAGTTTGCCGCCTCCACCGCCGCCGGGCTTGGCCCGCTCCGACACCGTCTTCAGGTTCAAGGGGAACTCCTTGAACCACTTGGCCGCCATGAGGGGGGCCCGGCCGGCGCAGCTCAGGAGCGTCGTGGCCGTGGAGCAGGTGAAGGAGGTCCAGCCCAGACACGGAGAGGTTCCAGGGGCCGGGGGCCACTGCATTCCCCGGGGCTGGGGCGCTGGAGGCCGTGACGAGACCCTGCGACGGCTGCTCCGTGTGTCCCCGGCCCGTGTTCGTCTACGCCCGGCAGGGTGGGGCCCCTCCGGCCCGGGGCGGGGGGCCCAGGGCGCCGAGCGGGCGGGCGCGGGCTGCTGCTCCGGACACAGACGGCGACAGGGACAACGCACCGGGGCCCCGCCCGGGCTCCTCTTCAGGGCCTGCACGGACCGGGGGCTTCCCCTGCGTTTTCCTCCCGGAGTAGGGGAGGCCTGGCCCACGGAAGCCCCGAGACAGCCCTGCCCACACTCCCAGGGACTAGAGGGCAAGCAGAGGAGATAGTGGGAGTGTCCCCGGCGCCTGGACAAACGGTGGACCGACGGCGGGCGGCCCACCCCCTCCGCGCCCCACCCCTCCGCAGTGGCGCCTCCCAGCTCCGCCACTCCGCGCCCCGCTCCTGCCCAGATCCCGGGGTGGTGGGCCCCGAGCTTATGCAGCGATAGGGCCTGGGGGTGCACGTTCGGGAGAAGGTGGCGGCAGCTGCACGTGCTGGCCAGCCACGCCCCGGAGCTTAGAGTCCCCCCACTTCTCCACCGAGCGGGTGTCTCCCGGGCGCTGCCTTCAAATGTGCCCAGGGTGCGCCACGTGCTTCTCTCCCACCTCGGAAGCAGCCCAGTCGCTCCCCAGAGGGCCAGGTGAGGTGGGTCTGCACCCTCCACATCCTCTGTAAACGTTATTTTTGGTGCGTGCGGTGGGGGGGGGGGGAGCGCCTAATAAAAATGGGTGCAGAGGCAGTGCCGAAGCACCACTCCTCGCCGTGGGGATCTGGCGCTTGCCGCCAGCCCCGGCCACCGCCATCACCCCGGGACTGGTCTCTGGGTAGCGTGAGTGGCCCGCCCCGCGCCCCGCGGGTCTCGAAGGAGACGGAGCGCGTAGCGATGAGGCGCGAAGGCTTCGCGTAGGGACTGCGGAGTGGACTCCCCTGGCCCAGGAGAGGTACTTGGTTCCAGGTCCCGGGGTGTGGGGTGAGGGGTTGTGGGGATAGGGGCGTTGGGAATCAGTTGTGCAACTCGCACCCCTATTTCCACTCCAGCGCGGCAGGGCGAGCTGTGGCCGAAGAGCTGGCTGGTAGCTTGCCTGTACCCCGGGCATCTGCGGAATTTTTTTTGGCGGGGAAGGTGGGAACGGCAGGGATGGTGTGCGGGGCGCACACAGCAGTGACCGAAGGTGTATACGTGGGGAGGGTTTTGTGAAGAACTGTGGGTCACTCTACGTTGAAAGAGGCCTCTGCCATTCCCTCCTTTTTGAAGCAATATGAAACTTTGTTAGCTTAAAAAACCCCTAAATGTGCCAGAGTCTCACGCAGTACGTTCTAAATCCTCACTATAACCCACAGGCACCGAGTGATCCTGGCCACCCATCACCTTCATCTGTGTGAGTGGTGCTTTGTGGGCTAGCATGCGAAAAAATGCTTCCGTAGACCAGCCAGGTCTTAAAAATCTTTCTTGACTTTTTAGAAAAAAAGCTTTATTGAGATATAATTTGCACACCATTAAACTCACCTGCTTTAAGTGTACAATTAAAAGATATTTAATATAATTACAGTACAACCACCACCACAATCTAAATTTAGAACATTTCTATCACCTCAGAAGGAAACCTTCTGAGATTTGTCTATTTGGGACTTCCCATGTAAGTGAAGGAATAGAACGTTTGGCCTTTGTATCTGGCTTCTTTCCTTTAGCATCACCTTTCTGAGATGCATCTGTGTTGTAGCATTTGTCAATACTTCATTCCTTTTATATTGCTGAATACTACTCCACTACATGGATATACCACCACTGGTCCACTCATACACCAGTTGTGTCTGTTATGATCAATGCTGCTGTGAACTCACACAACAGGTCTTTGTGTGGACGTAAGCTTTAATTTCTCTGAAGAAGGTAGGCAAGAGTGGAATTTCTGGGTCATACAGGATTCTTGTTTAGCTTTTTGATAACTGCTGCACTGTTTTGCAAAGTGGCCACACTATTTTATATTCCAACTGGCACTATGAGGGTTCCTGTTTTTTCACATCCTCAACACATTATTTTTTTAAAGATTTTATTTATCTACTTTTAGAGAGAGGAAAGAAAGGAAGAGAGAGAAACATCAGTGTGCAAGAGATACATGACTGCTTGCCTCTCACACACCCCCAACTGGGGACCTGGCCTGCAACCCAGGCATGTGCCTTGACTGGGAATTGAACCAGTGACCTTTCTGTTTGTAGGCCGGCACTCAGTCCACTGAGCCACACCAGCCAGGGCCTCAGCTCATTATCATCTGTCCTTTTTATTACAGCCTTCCTAGTGGGTGTGAGGTGGTTTCATTGTGGCTTTGATTTGCACTTCCCTAGTGACTAAGGATGTTGAGCATCTTTTCGTGTGCTTATTGGCTGTCTGTGTACCTCTGGAGAAATGTCTATCAGATCGTTTGTCCACTTTCTAATTGGTTTCTTTCTCCTCTTGTTATTGAGTTATAAGATTCTTTATATATTTTGTTTTTGTTTTTTTTTTAACACAAATAAGATACTTCTCCAGACCAAGCAATAGAGTGGAAACTCATGATTTTGGAGTCATGGGATCTGGATTCTAAAAACAGCTTCTTCATTAATGAGCATAGATTGTTACCTTGGACAAATCACCAGGTTATTGTCCTTGAGCCTCCAGAACTTCATCTGTACAATGGGGTAATAATGTCTAGCTCTTAAAGTTTCCAGTGAGGATTAATGAGACAATGTTTATTAGTGGTTAGCACCTGGCAGGCCCTTAAAGGCACCTTTGAAAGATTTATGGGCCTTTGCTTGGGAGGTGTTGATGCCTGCCCTGTTGCAGAAGCCTGTAGACCTTTTTTGTGAATTACTAGGAGATTGGGACAAACACCCATAACCCTGATTCTGCCCATAAACGTCTCTGTTTTTATATGTCCATATCTCCATCTTTTAATTATCTTTTAGTTCTATTTACATGTAGTTGCAGCTAAAGCTGTTTTTCCTTCCACAGCTGGGGACAATTTAGATGAGTTACCAGTTTTTTAAAATTTTAATGTTTTAATTTATGTTTCTTCTGAAATAAAGAAATCCTTTAAAATGACTTGGACAGCCTTTGTATTTGTAGGGGAAAAAACCAAGGCTTTGGAGTCAGAGACCTGTGTTACCTCAGTATCTTTTATAATCTTGAGCAAATCATCTGATGTCCTTGAGCTTTTTGGCTTTTGCGCACATGACTCGGACCAAACGCACAGCCCAGGCTTTGTGCCCGACCGGCAATCAGACCCGTGACTTTTCAATTACAGGATGAGCCAATGGGGCCAGCTGTGACCAGCTGAGCCACACCGGTCAGGGTGACAATAGTATATCTGACCCCAGGAATTTTACTCTTTGGGGAGGCCAAACTAACGAACCTGAAATAATTATAGAGACACGTAAACATTTAAAATTTGTAATAAGTGCATTTGAGGTATAGATGCAAGGAAAATGGAAGTGTAATCTATTAAATTAAAACATTCCTAGACTTTTGGGGGGAGTATCTACTATATGCAAAATAATGTGCTTAAAGTTCAGCATACTTAAAGAGAAATAACCAAGCCTTTGCACTCAAGGAGCTTAATCTTGGAAGAATGAGAGAAACTAACTTTTGTGGAGCCCCTGCTGCATGCTAAACATTCTTCAAAAATTTCCTGGTCTCTGTGCCCCCTTGCCAGCCAGTTAAACTCAATGTTGTCTGCCCAAGTTCTATTTTATTCCTCTTACACCACTTACTATGTATATTTTTAAAAGATTTTATTTATTTTTAGAGAGAAGGGAAGGGAGGGAGAAAGAGAGGGAGAGAAACATCAGTGTGTGGTTGCCTTTTGAGCACCCCCTACTGTGGACCTGACCTGCAACCCAGGCATGTGCCCTGCTGGGGAATCGAACCAGTGACCCTTTGGTTTTCAGGCTGGTTCTCAACCCACTGAGCCACACCAGTCAGGGTACCACTTACTATATTTAATTATAGAAATGCTCCAGAAATAGGCTAAATCCTTCTTTCATGTGGTTTTATTAGATTCTTATGGTAACTCTGGGTGGTGAGTGTTACCTTCACCTTGGAAATGAGGTGGGCAGGTCTGTAAGAGGTCCAGGTACACAGACCTAGTGAGTGGTCAGCCAAGAGTTGAATCCATATCTGGTTGCCCTGAAGTACCAAACCATATCACTGATAAGACATATAAATAACTCACAATAGTAAAAGATGGACCCAGCAGCCTTTCCCCCAAACCTGTAAACTCAGACCATCCTCATAGGAAATTCTTGAGCTAGTGGAGTAGGATTTTAGAAAGAGGTTTCTGGTAACAACTCGAATGTCCTGTGAAGACTTGTAACTTTTCTCTACTTGCAGACCAACAGATTAGCCTGCAGCAGTTTCATGGTTGCAGGTAGAAGATGAAAGTTGTGGGTCAGAGATGAAGGATGACTTATTGCTCATAGCAATAACTTACCCAGGTCTTTTTCCATTGTGTTAATGTTTCCTTTTTATTCCGAGATAAATCACACACCATGAAATTCACTATTCTAAAGCACACAGTTAGTGGTTTTGAGTACATGCACAAGGTTGTACAACCTTCACCGCTAATTCTGGAACATGTTCATTATCCCCAAAATAAGTCCCATACCCGTTAGCAGTTCCTCCTCTTCCCCCCTCCCTCCCAGTCCCCGGGAACCTTAGTCTACTTTCTGTCTCTCTGGATGTGTCTGTTCTGGACATGTCCTATAAATGGCATCATAGGACACGTGGCATTGTGTTTTCCTTCACTTAACATAACGTTTCCAGGGTTCGCCCACGTTACATTGCACCTCCGTGCTGCATTCCTTCTTACGGCCGGATAACATTGTATTACATGGATACACCACCTTTCGTTTATCAGTTCATCATTTGAGGGACACCTGGGTTTCCACTTTTTGACTATTATGCATAATGATGCTCTGAATGTGGTGTACACGTTTGTGTGTGAATATGTTTCAATTTTCTTGGTTATATGCCTAGGAGTAGAATTACTGGGTCACGTGATAGTTCTATGGTTATCTTTTTCAGGAACTACCAAACTCTCTTCCAAAATAGTGTACCATTTTGTATTTATACCAGCAATGCATGAGCATTCCAACTTCTTCACTTTCTCGCCAAAACCTGCCTTTTCCACTGTAGCCATCTAGTGGATGTGAGGTGGTATCTCACCGTGGTTCTGGTTTGCATTTCCTTAACAATCGAAGAGCATCTGCTTATGTGCTTTTTGGCC